CCTGGGGTCTCTTGGATCTGTGGGGCTGGATACTCACCTTCCTTTGTAAAACATTTCAGTCTCACAGATAAATAGTACTTTTATCATAATGATACTTCTCTCTTCTAATGATTTATTTCTCTTCTCAGGCTATACAGTATGGTACTGAAGATAACAGCACTGCTGTCATAGTACCATTTGGAGCATGGGGAAAATACAAAAACTCTGAGGTCAACTTCTCATTCACCCGCAGCTTTGCCTCGAGCGGAAGGTGGGCATGAGGACCTGCTGGAATCAGATTTTCTGTGCAATAACCTGTATGCCGCATGCTACAGGAGAACACATCTTGCCCATTTATTTTTCTCCCACTATTGTACAAAATAGTAAGCTTACTGCTTTCTGGGTAACAAACCCTCATCATGTACATGTCCCATTTTACCATTTTTATTGATGTTTTCAGATTTTAGGCAAGTGTTCATTTTACTGACTTTTTTGGTTTCCAATCCCAGAAGATGATGGGTAGTCCTGTGCAGATGGACTAGGTGCAGGGCAGTATTCAATACATGTTTTGTTCTGACTGATTTATCTAGTCCTCTGTGAAAGATTGATACGCTGGATAGACTGAGCCCTGTGCTCCCCTCTGTGCACAAAACACCGGGGAGGGGAGCAAACATGTAATCATGAGGAGACAAAAGATGCCTGTTTTGTCTTCCACTGTGTCACAGCCACCAAAAAAGTCCCTCTGCGCTTCAGGAGAAGCATGTGAAAAATAGTGGCATGGCTAGAGAGGATTGAGAAAGAGGCTATTCTATGTGTAAGTTTAGCCCAAAAGTCCTGTCTATATTAATGCTGCTAAGCAGCACCTCCACGCTCTGCAAGTCAAAGTATGTGTGCAGGCCAGGAGCATGGCAGCCAAGGCAGATATGCTGCCACTGGGGGCAGAGGGGATTCCCTACAATGGCCTGGAGTTTGTGAGGTCTCTGCTGTCCTACGTCTCTGGCCAATGTGTGATTTGGAGGCCACATTGCAGTCCTCTGTGTAGACCCCTGGCACAATTTCACTGAGAGGAACAGGAAGCTGGTCTATAGGGGTGCAAAAAGCTGCATATTTTTCAAATTAAGAGGCACTGTAAACTTGAATTCCATTTTTTAATGATTTAATTTCTAACTATTCCATTTTCTAGTAGAGCTCCCTGGAAACAGTGCAACAGGGATGTTTTAATTCTTTAAAAAATGAGTAAGGGCTTTTGTGCTCTCCAGAAAAGCCAGTTGCTAGTTGACTGTGCACAGGATGCCATCAAGTGCACAAAGTAAACTGGAAAAAGGGGAGTGTCATGGGGCGCAACACTCACTGCTGAACTGGTGCCTCCTCCTGGTTACTCTGGGGATTAGCTCAAGGATGACATCCCCCGTCTGCAGTCTGCACCCCGTCACTCTGTCCCATGTCTGCTGGCGGTCTCTCCAGGAACTGCCACGTCTCTCCAGCCATGTCACCACCTGTTTTCCCCTTCCGGGAGTCAGTACCTTGCAGTCCATTCATCCACCCATTTCCATCCATGGCAAATGTGGGGAACCCAGGCCCGTCTACTACTACAGGTCCCAACCCAGGGACTCTGTAGTTGGCAGCCACATGCTGCGTCCCCTCTGACTGGTCAGTACATTTCCCTGGGACACTTCCCCCCAGCCCCAGCACCTTGTTCACCTTTACTTCAGGGCCCCTGCTCCAGAGCCAGGTAGGAGCTCCCTCACTCCGGTCCCTGCCAGCAGCTGCCCTGTCCATGGTGCTAACGCCTCTTTTAGCTGCTAGGAACCCAGTCCTTACCCCTGGAGCTCCAGGCCATGACTGCCCAAATGTGGCCCCGCATCTTCTTTTACATGAGCCCTGCTGACCCCTCTCAGATTGGTTGCAATCCACGCAGCCACTCTAGGCCGCTCGGAGGCCTCCCCTCCACTACTCCCTCCTGGGGTTAACCCCTTTCACGCCAATGTGGGATAGACACCCCACCACAGGAAGAAATACACTTCTTTTGTTTTTAACTAATTGGTTTAGCTTTTGTAGCCTTGGGCATTGCTTGTAACAACAGTAGCTGCCAGATTTTCAGACAGAAATATGATTATTTTGTTCAAGGTGACAGCATCTTTCTTTTTCCCTCTTCCATATTTTTTAATGTGGAAGGGTGAATAGGGGAGTCTGCCAAATTAGGCACAAAGGGCCAGATTCTGTTGACTTCTGTGAATGGCCCCAATTCAGGCCAGCGAAAGATCTGTCCGAGAGCACCCAGTTCTGTTCTCACTTACTCCATTGTAAATCAGCTGCACAACTCTCCTGACCTCATCAGAGTTACACTCGTTAGACACCCGTGTAAGTCAAGTCAGGAAGAGTGAAATTGGAGTTGAGTTCTCATTAGTTTTGCCATCATATTTTTCACATTGGACTTGCTTCTGGCAAGAGAGATTTTCAAATGAAATAAATCACCTGAGGGAAAATTCTGCTGAGCTGTCTGGTCAAACACTTATTACAATGTGAATCTTGAACCTCTGTTACTTTAACCCTTCCCATGCCCAGGCTCAAACTTGTACCGCCATTCCAGCTGTTTCTCTTTGCATATATTTAAAGAGGCATGAGCATCCTTTAGACAACTATGCTTAATATTGTACTGAAGTGCTTTGCATACAGAAAGTGTCCTGCTTGTCTCATTACTCAGTGTATTATATGGTGTAAATAATATTTATATTGCTTTTATAAGTAAAGAGTTTGTGAAACAATATTTGTAAATATATATAAATATATATATATTATATCCAATGCTATTGCATAGCTCACTGGAATGGGTGTATATTAGTGTTTTACAATTATCATCCCTCCCTTCCCCCAACTCCCATTGCTGAGGGTTTGGAGTAAGATTTTTACTTTGGGTTAAGGGTTTGTGTCCAAAGTCCTGGGCCCAGCCCTGCTTCCCTTGAGTTGCCACTAGTGGGAGAAAGAACAGGTTCTTAGTCTGGAACAAATTGATTCCCCAATACTCTTGGGTTGGGTCTGTATTTGGTGTTGACAAAACACTTCACTTCTTCCCTTGAGCATTTAGGGTGAACTCCTGGCCCTGCTGAAGTCAGTGGGAGTTTTGTCATTGCCTTCAGTGGTGCCTTCTTTCCACTCTGCGTCTCTTTGTGCACTTCTGGGACTCAATGGTTTATTTCAAAACTTTAAATGTGTAGGCCTGAGAGCAAGGTTTTCAAAGTGGCTATTGCATGTATAGAGAAACTAACCACAGGACTCTTGCTAAAGACGTTTGATGAGTATCATAGAAAGGCCACATCTTTCTATGGGTACTACAATAGCCTCAACTCACAGTGTATGTTCTGAGTGCTGCGTTGTGAATGCGTGCCACTAATAATAAAGTGGTGAGAAGAGAACAAAGTGCTGCAGCGTGCAGTACTACTAGCCTTTCTCCTGCGACAACTGCAGCCTTGGTAACGATACAAATCTGATGATTTCCACTTAATCCCTAGTGAACGTTTAGCCACATGATAAATCCATCCATGCCTTGGTACAAGTAGCAGTTTGTTTTCAGGAGAGGCCTGGAAGTGGAGCAGCTGGGGTGGTGGCGTAGGCAACAAATGATAGATGTGCATTAGCAGAACTGTATGGGAACAGTTTTGCAGAAGGTCCATCAACATTTTGCCTCACTCCAACTGGTGCTTAGTCCCTCCCTTTCATGAGGTCCATTAGCCATGTATCCAGTCTGAAGGTACCTCAGAGACACAGGCTTTTAGTAGCACCTGTTCAATTTATTTAGTTCTGGTTTTTGTTAGTGTTCTAATGTGCTCAAATTGGAGTAGCGTTTGCCACTTTCTGAGCTGAACCCCTCTATCGAATAGCTGGGGGGTAATGAATAATACCGTACCTAGAGCGTCTGTGCGCCAGTTAATAGACGAGTAACTCAAAGAGTAGCTTGAAGGTGGGGTTTAAGTATATCCCCTAACAATATTTCAAGTGGAATGTGAGTTTAGGTTCCTTAGGGTTTTGCTACATCACTGTCCTATAGCCTATCACCTAGTTTTATAGCAAATTGGAGATTGTGGAGTCTGTTGTCTGGCTGTCCTCTCATAGAGAAAGAATTAATAAATAATTTCTTATCATGTTAGGAAGGAGATAGCCAAGAAGGGGATATGATAAAGCTCTACAAAATGTGTGGTGTAGAGGGGCTCCCATTAACCTTTCTCACTATGTCTTAAAGGGACATTCAGAGGCACCATATTTAAAACTGATAGAAGGAAATACTTTTTAAACACAAGACACAACCTGTGGAACACCTTGCCACTAGATATCATTGAGCCCATGGGGTTTACTGGATTTAGGCATATACCACCTCCTGTCAGTGAGCAGCTGGGGGGTTAGGAAAAGCGTTTCCTATTTCATAACTGTCCACTGTGGAGTTTTTGGCATTTTCCCCTGAAACATATAGCTACTATGGGAGTCAAGATACTGGCTAACTGTCCCATTGATCTGATCTGGTATGGCAATGCCTATCTCCCTAGTAAAGACCAGAGTTGTGGCATTTCCATGTAGGACTGTAGCCTTTCATGTGGATCTAAGGTGGGTAGTGTACTCAGTACCTCATTGACCACATGCTAGAAAAATACATTATGTTGCATTGTTTGTAGAAGACATCCTGCTTCTCAGGGCTCTTCTTCCTTACACAATCATAGCTATTTGCCCTTCTTCAGAACCACAATCACACTTTTCCCCCACCACAGTCCAGTCCACACAGTCAGTGGAATTAAAGGCATTTGTGACAGGGCCTGTTTTTCTCCAATGAGTCAGGCACTACAGTGTTGCTGGGCTCTTGAGTTTATGGTTTGGCATTTGACACTGAGTGAGGAAAGAGTAGAATAAAACCACTCCTTTGCCTTTCAGTGTTGTGGCTATTTATGTACTGTTCAGAATTTGGACTTTGAGAACTAGTTAATGAGTCGAATGCAGCAAATGTTTATTTATTGAATATCATTTTTCGGCCATTGAAGGTGAATTTGGTGGCTTAGAGCCTGTCAGAGGGAAGGAAGAGGTGCATTCTGATAGTGTATAGGGATCAAATTAACAGTCTCCTTCTAGCTTTTAGCCAGCTATCTGCTTATGTGGAATATCAAGGTGTCCAAGTCAGACTCAGGTGTTTCTCTACGTCCAAAACGCGTTTTAAAACAATACATTCTAGTCTGTCAGCCTCCTGCTGTCTCTGGCAGCTCCTAACATGTACACAGAGAAACTGGTCTTAAGCCCCAAGGGACCAGCAAAAATCTGTGGCCTAATAGAAGGGATCTTCTAAAATGTAGGAACAAAATTGATCTGAAAATCTGTGCCACTGTAGTTACAGTGGCCTTTTATGACAGCAGTTGCCTATTGTAAGAGGCTTTTAGTGCAGGACTAACTATATATACCCAAACGTTTTGTGAACTGAATTAAATGGAATCGCTGGGTTTTTACCTCATATGCATCTATTCTATCAATGGACAGGAGGTTGCTTTTGTATTACAAACTAAACTGTATCTTAGAGGTGAACTGCAAAGCAAAGGATTGTTTTGCTCTTCACTGGTTTTCTGGGCCCAATTTTGATGCAAGTATGCATTTTAAATAGGGCAGAAAGCAATTTCAGTGGAGTAAGGTGCTACTCATTGTCACTAAGTGTATCACAATCTAGCCCTTAGGATGCAGAAAGACTGTTTCAGTATTTTAAAAATCATACACATAGCAATTTATTTTTACTACGAAGATCAGGACAGTTCCGTTTGCCTCACTCTTCTCTCTTTGCTGGAGAACCTTGGCAAGATCTTTGGAGAAGCTGAGTAGTGAAGTCACAAGAGTAATGCAAGCTACTGTTCTTTCTTCTCCAACTAAGTGGAGAATGAAATGCTGATTCTTAGATAGGGATGTGGTGAATTCTCCCTCACTTGCAGTGTTTAAATCATGTCTGAAGATCTTTCTAAAAGATAATGCTCTGGCTCACACAAGTTATGAGTTTGATGCAGAAATTGGGTGAAGTTCCATGGTCTGTGAAATACAGGTCAGACTAGTTGATCATAACGATCCCTTCTGACCTTAAAATGTATGAATCTGTGAATAATCATGGAGTAAAATTTGTGGTCAAAGTAATGGTGGTGGGGAAAACAAAGTACTGAGGTTGCTGCTTATTATGTGTTTGGGGAAAATGAAGTCCGGGTGAAATCCTAGCCCTACTGAAGTCAATGGCAAAACTCCCACTCACTTCAGTAGGGTCAGGATTCCACCCTCTGTCTTTTGGTAGATGGAAATGCTATAATTAAAGGCTTTTGACTTTTCCAGTTAATACAGAACTAGAAACCAATTTAGATCAATAAAACAGAATAACTAAGATTAGTTCTTCATCTTTGACAAACTGTTTGTCACCGTTAGTTAGATAAATAGGTCATTTATCCAACTAGCTGAATGTACTGGATATCCACTGCACAGGTGTGTTACTGGCTGCTGAAGCTGCTATGCCTCATATAGGCAGCTACAAGGTTTCCTCTTTACCTTATGCTTTGAGTGTGGCAACTTCGCATGTCATAACTCTATAAATGCAAAAGTACAATTGTGTAAACTTGTTACATAGTTTGCCTTGGGACTACTTAGATTCTCCATGGTCCGATGTATATATTTGGTGTAATCAAAATCCATAATTCATCTACTACTTAATTTGAAATGAATGTTCTGTTTTTTAACGTGTTTTTAAACGAATCAGCTGTACAATGTGAACAGGTTAAATATGAATGCTTAAAGGATCTTTTAATAAAGTTTTTGCGTCAAGAGCTGTCTATTTTTTCTTCTCCCAACATTTTGTGATCATGGGGGTGGTATTCACATTTTTACTGTTCTCCCTGGTCTTTCCTTGACTTCTCTCCACCTTGACTTCTCTCCATCAGCTGTGTTGGTGATAACAAGAAAATGTGGGTTTTACTTTTGTCATACCTAGTAGCATGTATAGTGTGAAACAGTCCGGTTTGCCATCTCATTGTTATATTTGATGTTGCACTCTTGAGTGGAAGGCAAGGATTGGGTCCACCTTGGACCAGAAGTCCTGTCTGTTTGCTGGATCAGAAAGGCTGCCCAGAGTCAGTTTAAACTCAGGGTGTTTATCCACAAATCCTTTCTCTGTCTGGTGGTCCTTGGAGAATCCAGGTTGAATTAGTATATGCGCACCTCTTCAGGAGGTGACTTCAAAAGAGCTGATAACCAGAAGAATAATGTTAGCATCCCCCGCAGTACATACATTGCCACAATCACACAGACATAATTGTGTTTTTAATACAGTGGATCCCCAGAGGTATTAACTCTAACTCAGGAAGGTTTAACTTAATTCAATAAAGTTTATCTTAATTCCATGAGGTTTGCCCAGGACATTGTCAGTGTGTCTTAGCCTCCCTCTCCATGAGCCTCTGCTCTCCAGAGAAACACCAATAGGAGTAGCTTCCTAACCAGCTCCCCTGAGGAATCTGTCCTCAGGAGCTTCCTCTGGTATGGGGCTTCCTGACTGAGCCCTCATAAGTATTTATTAGGCTCAGGTGCTCAGAAAGAATGGCCACAGTGGGTCAGACCAATGGTCCATCTAGCCCAGTCTTTTGAGATGTCTCGGGAGATCTGCAATCTTTGCATCTGGCGGGCAATTTACCATGCAGTTCTATACTTCTAATAAATCCCTTATTACTATTACCTGGCTCTTCCTAGAAATGGGGGTCCCTCCCTATGAGGTGTATCCTCACTGTGACATCATCTGGAAGGAGGGTCCCAACTATGGGATTATTTTCCTTTGCTCCAGCCTGATGTTGTTCTTCCCCGAGACTTTCATCCTCCTTAACAGCACAGAGGCTATCAGACTGGACGTGGGACCACACTACTGTGTCCTTGAAGATCTTGTCTGTATCAGTCTGTCTCCCCTTAGCTCCTCCAGTTCAGCCACTCGCTTCCAGAGCCTGTGCTGTGTCTCTGGGGGCCCAGAGCTGTTTGCACCAAGTGCACACATATGCCCATGAGGCAAGCAATAGTACATGCTGCATTCAGTGCCATACGCTGGATAGCCTCCATGCTGCTGCTGGACTTCTGCCTGCATTGTTTTTACTCTTGTATGTTTTGTTTCGTGGAGGGGGTTGGCCTTACCTTAAAGTATGTTTGCTAGATGTAGCTGCCTCTTGCAATTCCGGTCTAAATTCCCATACAAAACTCCCCTGCTGCACCTGTTTGCTAGCTCCTTCCTTAACTGCTTAGAGGAGTCTGTCATGGGTAAGCTGAGTGCCCGACCCCGTCGGGACCAGCCCCCGTGACATAACTATTAGTTGTTATCTCCATTGTACACATTGGAGTGAAGAAAGAACCCAGGATACAGGACTTGTCCAAGGACACACACACATTCAGTGACAGAGCTAGGTTTGCACTCAGGAATCCCTACTGCCCTCCCCCAGGATTGATAAATGGCTTTGGTTGACTTACACTCTGATCATACAATTGACAGTGACTGGACAGACTTCTGTGCTCACACACAGCCCCACACAGAAGTCACTGGGTGCAGCAGTCCATTGCAGGATTGGGGCCCTAAGTTAGTTCTTGGATGTTCTATTTGGATTCGTCTATCACTTTTTTCCCTTTTACTATTTTGTCTTGTTTGTATTTTGTTTTGTTTCAATCCATAAGATTAAAAAAAATTAGGAAAATGTAAAAGCCTCTTTCTCTCTTCCTGAAAGAGTAGGTACAGTTGGCAGCTCTTCCCGAGCCAGGAGAACCCTGGGCATTCGGCTCTAGAACTGACTTCCACGTCTGAAGATATGGAAAAAAGAAAAGTAGAATATTTAATGAAAGGGAAATATTTTGGTTTCAAATGACTGGTTGGATTCAAAACTTCCAACCGACTCTCCATAAGGCAAGCTAACCGTTCAGGAATACAGCCCCTGGGCACAGTTAAATCTGCTACTATTACCATTCTTAACTGATTTCAGTTTCTATAGATTAGTACACCTGTACTCAACCCCCCAGCCCCAACTCCTCTCTTATCCCCCTCAGAAGGAAAAACAAGAGAAAAAACTCCAGGGCAGATCCTCAGATGGTGTAAATCGTCATAGTTCCCTAGACTATAAGCGATGACAATTTACTGCTGTGCAGGATCTGCCCGTCCCTCTTAAGCAAAAATTCACGTTAGTCTTGTTATTAGTATCTTAGCTTCAGTCGGCTACATGGCTCAGGAGCCGTCTCACCCTTCTTCATTGCACCAGATGCTGGTAGGATTACATTGCCTCATCTCTTATCAGTTAGGTTACTTATATGGTGAATTCTTTAGCCCAGATGTCAAGCAGAATAACTTAGCAGACTCGCCTTTGCTGGTCTTGCTTTCAGCATTTTCACAGTAGCCAGGAAATTGCTGCCAGGCTCCTCTGTAATGAGAGTATTTGTCCTGTAATGAGTGTCCCTATGACCTTCTGGTTTTTTGGTACCTTCTGAAGGGAAGGAGACTGGCTGTGTTTCAACACCAAAGTGTTTCCCTGCCTGGCTCCGACGATTGTGTGAATTGGGGTAAAAGTTCATGAAAAGGATCTTAGGACAGAAGTCAAGTTTAAAAACAAACAAACTTGGCTCTAGTGTTGACTGCAGTGAAGTTGTGTTCCTTATACGGCACTGTATCCTCTTCCAAAAGGGTTGTGTAACAGGACACCCCCATGGCAGATGCTGGAACAAGCCCCTCTTCTCACATTTATGCCAACACGACGGTATCTCTCCTTATCTGAGCTACTCAACCTTTCGGCAGCCTTCCCGAGAGAACAGAGCAGTCTCATTCTGTGATCATGTAGCGTAGACTACAATATTAGCAGAGTGCCACAGCTGGGGATACTGGTTAAAGGCGAATCTCCCCTTCCAGTAGAATACTTTTCCTTTAAATACACGGGGTAGGTTGAAAAGTCCTTCGTCTGTCTTGTTGAGCGAAAGTCCCCCCGGTAGGAGTCGAGCTGCTGGGGTTCTTCACTAGCCTTGCTTTCCTCCGCCTCTCACTTTCCCATGTTATTGCGTCTCCCATGCGGGGCAATGATCACCTGGCTTTTGTGTTATCTTCTGTCAGACCAGCCAGCGCTGGGTCATGTCCTTACTCTTCTCTGGGCTGCTTCACTCCTGAGCCTGTGAGCCTCACTAGCAGCACTGTCCCACCAGGCTGTGGCCAGCCCAGACTGCACACCTTGAACAGGGTTTGCTTTAAAACTCAGGGTTAATAGTTCTTCTTCGAGTGCTTGCTCATATCCATTCCATTAGGTGTGTGCGCGCCGCGTGCACCCTCGTCGGAAGATTTTCCACCCCAGCAACTGCGGCGGGTCGGCTGTGGAGCCCCCTAGAGTGAC